ACAACCATGACATGCCCAAATTTGTTCTCCCCTCAAGACATGGCCTTTCACTTCTTGTAGCTTATAAGCTAGAGAAAACAAGAGAGAAAATGCTTGTGTGTCTTAGCCTGTCTGCAAAGAGCAGCAACACAGTAAAAAATTGGACTGAGATAAATTTTCTGGGGATTGAACTTAATAGCAAAAAGCCAAACAAATCTCAGGGAGCACACACATCAGACAAGAGGGCACTGCTTTGGGCCCTTGCATCATGGAAGTTGGTGTATCCAAAGAAACATGTGTCATCTTTTACAAGCCAGGGGATGTCAGGTCAGCAACACTCGTGTTCTTGCCTCCTATAATTTTCACATCTGGTAGGGTGCATCGCTCCTAAACCACTGTTTCAGATCTAGCCCCACCATCATCCTGCAGCTAATCCTTCGCTATCATCCTGTTGACACCGCAGGGAAGGGAGAGAAGAATGGGTCTCTGGAGCTTCTGACTCCCATACAAATTGCTTCAAACCCAAGGAGGGACAGAAAGGAAAAGACAGTGGAGATAAATGGCTTAAAGGTCAATAATTCTACAAGCCCCAGCTGAGCAAGCCTGCTCCAAATACGCTCCTTAAAGATCCCCTAATACTACAGGTATTCTTTCAGTAGACAGACTATGAAATAGCACTCACTGCTTTGGGGGACAAAGGTCTTTTTTCTTATTAGCAAAGAAAGTCAAGATAGAAGTCATAATAGAAATTTTAGTACATATAGGCAAGCCAAAAATAGGAATGAGGGAAGAAAAGAAAATCATCTATAATCCTACTGACATATGTATTCTCTTTTGGCACATAGGAAGCCTCTGCATGAACTTTTTCAACCTGCACTTTTCATTTAAGAAAGGACGATGAAACATGGCCCCTTGTACTAAGAAGCCTTCCACACTATCTTTTTTGATTGTTGTACTGTACGTAGGACAACAGTATTTAACTAAATCACCAATGGTGAATATTTAGGTTGTTCCCACATTTTGCCACATAAATAATACTGTAATGAATGTTTTACAACTCAGTCTTCACCTGTATCCATGATCGTTTCCTTAGGACAAGTTCCCATATGTAAAACTAATATAGTGAAAGCATGAACACTTTTAATGTTTTTGCCTAAAATCACCAGTTTTGTTGCCAGAGAAGTTTTATCAATGAAGTAATACAGCCGTACATTCAGTGGATCATAGCTGCCATGTTCTGCCATTACCTTCTTTATCTCACTATGAAATTAATGGTGTGTAATTTACTTACACCATTCTAAAGGATAGCGCGAGGTTTAGAAGCTGTGAGAAAGCTGATATAGGAATGAAGTGTCCATAGTTCTGCAAGTCTTATTCCCATCTGCTTAAAAAGGGTCAACAATACATAGACTATCACTGTTGGGCCCTTGAAATCCTATCTACTTGGGAGGAGAGGCACAAGGATTGCAAGTTTAAGGGCAGCCTGGGCAATTTAGCAAAACTCTGTCTCAAAATAAAAATTAAAAATAATTTTAAAGAACTGGTGCCCCCTGGGTTCAATCCCAAGTACCTGAACAAAAACAAAAATCATAGGCTGTTGCTTAAATTCTTCTCTACAACTAAAGTTTTCAAACAAAAAAAAAAGGGGGGGGGACTTACATTAAAAAATTGTTTTTTATTTTTTCCTATTTGTAAAATTTTACCAGCTCAATCTAGATTTGAAAAGACAAAAACAAAAAAAAAAAAAAAAAAGGAAAGACAGTTATAGAGTTTCCCCAAACCCCACCACCCAGAGGTTACCACTGTGAACACGCTAGTGGATTCCTCTTCGTTCTTTCCTGGCACTTACACTGAGTTCAAGTAAATCAGACGATATGGTTTTGTTCCACTTTGCAGTCTGATTCTTCACATTTCTTCCTACAGAGGGTTTTCCCACCTTCATCCACTCAGGACACTGCCTCACTTGACTCTCACACTTCCACGAGTACATAAACCATGAGATGTCTGGCCAGGGAAAGCCATGCACTTCTAAGGCTTTGACCACTGGCTCCAGTACTGGGCTCCTAAACACTCCTAACAGGGCCTCCAGCTATAACAATCTATAATCCATTAGCTGGGACTATATTAAATCTAGCAAGTTCATCCTTAAGTTCTCAGCTCTTACTCAGGGTCGATATAATAAACGACTGTCTGAAGAATGTTTCTGCATCTTCTGCAAAATCTTTGAAGAGAATGTCTGTTATATGCTTCTCTGTCCCTTTTATTGAGATTCTTATGATAAATTTAAACTCACATGGAGTGTCAGGGAAAAGTTTGGCTCTCCTGACAAATGGCTATAGTTTCTTTTATCCAATAACTCATCACATTTTCCCTTTCGCTTTAGCTCAATTTAATGCGCAATTGCAGTAACTATCTTCTGCTAAGTTTCTGGTTTAATCATTTCATCTCTTCATCCATATAACTTTGGATATTTTATCTTTAAACTCATGTCCTACAGCCTATATTTTTAATTGTCAGTCATCTCAAATCTGATTGGAAGTTAATAGGAATACAAATCATGAATAAACAAACAATCATCTTGACCTCCAGGTCATCTCTTTTAGAGTCATGCCTGCCTTACTAATTAATAATTGCTTTCATTAACCCTAAATTCTCTCCTACTATTTCCAGGCAGCTGCACCTAAACAGCCGTAATAAGAAGCACTTGGGAACATTAAACTTGACAGGGAGGGAAAGAGTTTTCTTAGGGATGAATTGTCTTATACTGGTGTCATTTAGTCATTATCCTTCTAAATGAAGTCCTGGAAAGTCTTGCTGACGAATGTGTATGAACACATCTCCTACTCACCGGGGGCATCCCAGAGGACACCCCCTATCTTGCAGCTCTTCTGCTTCTTTTGCATTTACCACTTTAAATAAATGTTCACTTTGCACTATACTAGTCTTGGCTCCCCCATTTTTCGCTAAGAGCTCTACTTCTCCATTCTTTGCCAGAAAGCAAAGACCCGAAGACAGAGGGTCATTATGGGGGACTCGTAGCCCCCCTTCAAAGACACCCCACCAGATGATACAGGCATGTTTCCCCACTTTTACATTTGTCCCCTTGGGGATATCTCTGCCTCTTAAATCCCCCCTACTCACTAAAGCCCACTCATTAAGTAACTGATCGAATCAGAGGCCACAATTCATCTCTCCTAACTTCTCAGCTCCTTGACTTGAAGCTTGGTCCTATGACTTGCTTTGGTCAATAGAATGGGACAGAAGCCTAAGCCTAGAGAACTGGTGAGCTTCCACTTGCTTGGCTCCCTTATGTTTCTTCTAAAGCATGAGCACAACTTCTCTTGGAGACCTTCAGCTCCTTCATCCTGGGGCCAGACAAAGCAGAATGTCCCCAGAGGACTCATAGATTCATGAATGAAGCAAACAGGTTGCATAAGGTGTTGTGGTGATTTCTTATGCAGCAGAAGCTGACTGGTACACTCTATAATAGCCATCCTTGAAGATCAGGTTCTAGTTCTGGTCTCTATCCTTTTGTCCTTGATTCTTCAAACCATTCAACTTACTCCCAGGTCACCTACAAAGTAGCCTCTACTTCTATTACAGTCCCAATGGCCCTAGCTCAGGGTAGAGTCCATGGCCTACAGCTTGAATCTCCTAAGAACAAGGAGGTATGTATCCCCTTAATTCCTGGAATGTGTGTTCTTGATACTAAAAATAATCAAAACTTACCAAGCATATGCTAACAACCAGCTAGGCCCTACCCAAAGTACCTACATGTGCTGTAAGGCACTCCCTACAATTGTGTGGCAGGTATTATTATTTTTGCTGTACATGCAAGGAGATTGACATCTGATACACTTACAAGATTGATACAAGCCTCACAACCCCACAGAGGAGAATTTAATCCCAACCGTGTCCAACTCCAGGACCCATACAATGCTGCCACCTTTCAGTTTAGCTCATGCATAGGAATCACTGTTTGGTAGACAAAGTGGTCCTGGTCATGGATGCAGTCTCTGCCCATCCTTAGGAACAGGCTCAGCAGGCTAGGTCCTGGTTTCCTAGCAGCAGCCATATTTGCCATTGCATCCTCCCACTTGAACCCCTCATCAGAGGTGGCTTCTTATACAAAAATTGTGGCAGGAACTTGCAGGGCCCCGTCTATGTCATGCTAAGCAGTAGTGAGACCTTAGGGAGCCATTCTGTGACTGAGAGAGCTGAAGTACTCAGTAAAAAGGAGCAATGGATAATCAGCCAGCTTTCCAGAAGTTTCTGGGAGGATCTTTGTGTGGCTGTGGGAGATCTGGACTATGCTGCTTCTCTAGCATACAGCCTGAGCTCCCTGCTACACATGAAAATCACTGAAGCACAAGGCAGAGCTGGATGTGGCCCTAGGGAACTTTGGTTCCAACTTCTCCATTTTACAGATGGGGAAACTGAAGCCCATTTGTTTACAATGTGGTGTCTCACTCCCTGCCTTCTAGAAGTAGGAGCAAGAGTTATACTCATGGGGAGCACACCGGTCTCTGCTATAGTTTGGCTGCTAAATGCCCCCAAAGGCCAAGGAGTTAAAGATTTGGTTCCCATGATGGAACAACTGGAAGATGGGGGTAGTTTTAGAAGGGAGCCCTAGGGGGAGGTCCTTAGGTCACTGAGGGTGACCTTTCAGGGGACAGTGGGACCTCAGCCTCTTTCTCTTGGCTCTTTTGCTCCCTGGCTGTGAGATGAGTAATTTGCTCTGTCACGTGATCCTGCCACCACCATGCAGCACCCCTACTATCGGCCCACTTGTGCATAGACTGAAACCTTTAAAACAAACCTTTTCTCTTTATAGGCTGTCCCAGGCAGTGACATAAAGCTGACTAGCACAGGCCCCTCATTAAAATGTTTCTAAAGCGTTGCATATCCCTCGCATGTGTATTACTATTAGGGCACTGATTCACTCAGTGAGACACGAATGTGCCCAACTACTTGAAAGTGACACATTCACCATTGTGTGCCTTTGTGGCACTTTTGCTTACCCAGGTAGATGTCTGTGTCTCAAAACCCTGTCCTTTTCTGCATTTCTCCATCCACAAGTCCCAAGGAGAGGTGAATTTGTTCCTCCCAGAGCTCCCAGGAGGAGACTCTGTCTCTGAGCAGACGTGTGCTAGCATCATCCCACAAAGATGTTGCTCATCTTTGCTTATTTTCCACACTCTTATGAGCATCCTCCACCTCCTGCAAAGCCCTCCTTGTGAACAATGGTGCTCACTTCTTATGAGATTTGCTTCTGGGGATGGAAGCCAAAGGTAGATCCCAGTTCTGGTTGACAATGCTTGTTTATCGTTTATTGAGTCTGTGGGAGCAAAGAAAAGAGTCAGTCCGTTTGCACATTCACCCTACACCTGACATCTATCCCTCCACAGCGGTGACATGCCCTGGATCCCTCTCAAAGAGTGAAGCTCAAAGTCCGCTTAGTAATGGCCCAGAGGCCAGTCCAGCTGTGTGCAGCAGGGACTGTGTGTCCTTGCTGCCCTTGGAAAAGTCACTGGAGGTGACAGCTTCACAATTCTCTGTCCATTGTTTTGGAGCCACCGTGTGCCTTTCTCACCCCTCCTCTGATAGGTGTAAATTGGTTCACAAATCCTGCAATTCGTTTAGCTCATGCTCCACTGAGTTTCCTCGGCGATTTTCTGGTTTATTGCCCGTTGCCTGGTTGCTAAGATTCCTTGTAAATTGCATTGCCCTCTGCTCTGTTCTGCCATTTGTTTAGGTTCAGCGTGGAAGCTGTCGCCCCAGCACTTGCCATGTGCGGGTCGTGAATTGCTCCTAAGCAACAGTACTGCTGCACGCGGGCCAGCACCTGAATGGCAAAGAGGCAGCACAGTGACACAAAACCCAAGGGCACAGAGCTAATTTATGCCACCAGGCAGAACTCATCTTTCTCTCCTATCTCATTCCAGAGGAGGAATCAATATATTGAGGGTGTGGGATTGCGTGGTGCTCTTGAAATGTTTCTTGATGCCATCACTCTATGGGACTGCAGATGACTAAAAGACAGACAGATGGTCCTTCCTGGGCACTACAGAAACAGACAAGATGTGACTGGGAAGAGACTAAAAGTGCAGGCTTACGCCAGACGATCTAGGTTCTAATGAAATCTCGGCTACTTCCTGGTCGTGTGACCTTGGATGAGTTGCTTACATTTTCTGTGCTTTAATTACTCTTCTATAAAATAGAGTTAATAAGAACATCTACAGCACTGGATTGTTGTAAGGTTAAAATGAGATGATAATATGTAGCACATAGTCTCTGGCGTTGGTATATAGTAAGGGACTCAGTAGATATCAACTATGATCACTGTTATCATCAACAATATCATTGTCCCAAAGCAGCTGGCCAAAAGCCAGTGAGCAGCACCCACCTCATCTCCTGCCCTGGCTGATGTGTCTCCGTGCTGCAGGCCTACTGTTCTGACCACCCCCGGGTGGTTAGTTCCAGCCCTGTTCTGTCTGCCTTACTGTTAACACAGAGGCTCCACACTCATTATAGTTTATGTCTAGATGGCTCATAAGAGCCTCATGTACTCAAAGGAGGGCTTTTGGAAGATGACTGGATTATGGGGCCTTATCACTAACTTGCTGTTAAGAGGTAGGGTCTGTTGGGAAGAGGTGGGTCACTGGGGGTGTGGCCTGGAAGGGTGTGTGTGTCTCTCTCTCCCCAGCTCCTCCTTTCTCTGTTTCCTGTGCACCATGCAATGAGCAGCTCTCCTCTGCCATGGCCCTCTGCCTTGTCATCCTGCCTTGGAGCTGGCGGACCATGCAAGGATTAAAACCTCTAAAATGTGAACGGAAATAAGCCTCTCCCCTTTAAATTGTAGATGTTGGATATTATCGCTCAGCAATGAGGAAAGTAACTAAGACAAAACCCTTGCACTCTTTAATTGGGAAAGATAAGTTAGTTGTCATAATGAAAAGGGGGACCTACCTCTTTGGGGTAGAATTATAAATTACACCTCACACTCTGTAGATGCCATAGGGGTATGTAATTATAGGTGATGTTTATATTATACAGACCCTTGGGCCTTTATACAGATAAAACCTTTCTCTAAATCCTTGTTGAAAGGCTAACATGCATCCTCTTGGCACAAACCACATCTAGATGTTCTTAGCGGCCACCAGAGTCCAACATTTGATGGAACTGTTCTTACAACTAACCTCTTCAGCTGCCTTTTAAAAGAGGGCTCAAAAGCCACATTGTGGAGCTCTTCTCAGGAACTCAGAGGCAGAAAAAACCTGAGAAGTCACCACTTATCCCTGCTCCTACTCAGCCCAGCAATGGGCTGTGACAGTCTAAATATGAAGTATCCCCAAGATTCATGTGTGGAGGATGCTAAGTTCATCAGTGGATTAATACACTGATGAGTTCATTAGTGTAGAATGAGCTGTTAGGAGGTGGACCTGGTTGAATGAAGCGGATCAGTAGGGCATGCCTCTGAAGAGTGTATCTCTTCTTGGGCTCTTCCTCTTCTCTTTCTGCTTCCTGACTGCCATGAGGTGAGCACCTTTCCTCCACCATGCCATTTCTGCCTTTGACCCACTTAACCATGGACTAAGACTTCTGAAATTGTGAGCCAAAATAAACCTTTCCTCCTTTAAGTTTTACATGTCAGGTATTTTGTCCCAACAATAGGAAGATAAATAATATAAATTCAAACACTGGATCCTGAGGCTCTTTGTAGGGGAAAAACTTGCTCTGGTATGGGGCTCAGATGCTATAAAATCACTTAGTAAGTTAGTGATCTCTTTCCAGTTTCTCTACTGTCACTCTGTCCATTCTTGCTTCTTTGCCAAGAAGGGGAATGTTCAGCCCTCCTAAACACAACAGGCTTTTCAAACATTAGAAGCCACCCTTCCATCTCTCTTTAGCCTCTTCTTTCTTGGATTAAACATCCTACATTCCTTAAGCAATCCAGATCATTCCCCAACTCTTTTCCATCCCAGCGTTTCCTTCTGCATACTCTCTGGCCTGTTTATCTGCCCTGAGAACATGGAGCCAGACTGGGAAGACCTTTCCCTAGACATGTTCCAGCCAGCCTCGCCAGTCACATCTGGTAACATGATATCATAGTGTTCATCCTGTAACCTGACACTGCACTGGCTGTTTGGTCGCTCTGACAACCAGTTTCTCTCCGATCTTTCACTCTCAGGACTGATGTTAAGCATGGCTCCCTTAACCTATACTTGCAAACCGATCTTTTGAAACTAAAGGTAGAACTTTACATTTTTCCTTGTGGCCCTCAGATTAGCCTTTCCATTTCCTCCAGGCAGGGAACAGGCTAAAAAGGAATGGAATCTACCACTTCAGCACTTAATGAAGCTTGACTCTTTACAGGGACCCTGTGACAGCTGCTTCTTTTACCAGCATCTATCGTGGTACTGTGTGTAGAGCAGACATGCAGTAATAGCTGAATATGGACATGAACTGCTACATCACCCCCTAAATCATAAGTTCAAATGTAGGATACATGTAAATGCTCTTTAAATTCCTCAAGTACCATGCAGACATCAACTATTGTTAATATTGGTACTGTTACTAAACATATTTTTTTTTTTTTTTTTTTTTTTTTTTTTTGGTTTTTCTCCGGTACCAGGAACTGAACTCACGACCTTGCGCTTGCCAGGCAGGCGCTTTTGCCGCTGAGCTAAATCCCCAGCCCCGTTACTAAACATATTAAAGACAAAAGCCATGTTAATTTTCTTTACCTCCATAGATGGATGTCTTTTACACAGAAGGTGCTCATGAGTGTTGGTTGAACATTAATAGAAAGGTTTGCACAATATCTTGGATATGGACTTAGAAGAGAAGTCCAAAGTTGAGGTGAGAGCCTCTAGCTAGGATGTGGCAGGAGATTAGGGCACAGAACATTAAAGAACAAGGAAGAGATTTCTAAAGACAAGGGTTTGGGACCATCCTAGGGTGGAGGCATACCGGGGGTTTCTACACTGGTAGAAAGTTAGCAATCAGTAGGTAATTTAACCATACCTAAGTTGTTTACAAGCAGCAAGCATGACAACAGCAGCCTGTCATAAGACTGTGGTTCAGTGGGGGCAGATGCAACCCAAGAGTGGCTGACCTGGACCAATGTCTTAGCTCCTTTTCTCATTTCTGAGGCAAAATACCCAACACCTAAAGTTAAAGGAGGAAAGGTTTATTTAGCTCACAGTTTGTAGAGGTTTCAGTCCATAATCGGCTAGCTCCAAGGCAGGGTGGCATGGCAGAAGAGAACCAGTTCATGGCAAGCAGAAGATAGCAAAAGCAAGCAAGAAAGGAAAAGACAGCCTCTTTCTGTCCCTTCTATTTTATCCAGGCCAGGGATTAGGACAGTGCCAATCCAATCAGTGGAGTGATTTTGTAATGACCCACCCTTAATCCTAGCATTGCATCATGAATCAATCACACACTCTAGATTCAGCCCTGGCTACAAAAGCCCCACCTATGACTGCATAAGGCTTTGGGGGAACGTCTAGACACAAGGCATAATATCTGAGCTGTGCTCACTCTTGCATCTGCTGGTCAGATGAGGTCACAGTTTGAGGCCCCTCACATGCGTATACAGTGGTTGGCCAGCTGCAGGGTGTGCAAGTGGGGTGAGAAGGCCATATAGCTCTCATCACCAGTAAGCCAGATCCTGCTTACTGACGTGGCAGCTCAGTAGGCTTCCAAGAGAAAAAGCAAGGAGTCCAAGAGGCATCATGAGGTCTTGGCTAAAAATGGGTACATTATCACTTCCAGTGTATCCTATCAGCAAAAACAAATGACAAATGTAGCCCAGATTTAAGAGATAAGGAAAAAGACCTTCCACCTCTTCATGCAAGGATCTTGCAAAAGGCGTGGATCCAGCAAGAAATACATAGAATCCATCTTCCATTCTTCCATAGAATCCATCCTTCCATCTCACACATACATGGATGTCTGCTACAGGATTGTTCTTGCCAGGTGTAGGAGTCACGGCTGGAAAAAGTATGCGTTGGGGACATGAGCTCTTATCTTTGGAAGGGGCTGCAAGTAAAGAGTACTGCAGTGGAAATAGGTTGTGAGGACAGGTGATAGTAGCCAGAGTGGCTTCCCTGGGTATCAGTGTCTGGCTATGGCAACAAGAACATGATCTTTGTGCAGATGCTTGTCATCGCTCATTTGCTTTTGTGACCAAGCTGCACCTCGATGCCCAACATTTCTATTGCCAGATCCTGAATGATGTGCAAATCCCATCCATCACAGTGTCCATTGTCGTGTCATTCTGGTTCTGGCAAAGACATGACAGTCTGATAGGCCCCTTGAGGATACAAAGAGCCC